AAAAGAAAATTTTAAAGCCGGCCTATTTGAAGTGTTTAAAAAATTCAATAATATGATATATTATTGTCTCGTCCAGAAGTCTATGTTTTTAAAGGAAACGCAATAAATAAACATTACATGTTTAGCATTTTAAAAATATAACTTTAAGTTGAAGAATGATTTGAATTTTCAACTTAAATCTTCATCGCGATTACTTAATATGCACAAATCGGTGAATAATGGTTCAGACAAATTCTATTACCATAACAACTCCATTGTTCTACTAGTCACGACGTACAAAGCAGAAGCCCGCTTTACAAACGCAGAACGTTGAATCTAGTCTCAAACCCGATAAGTCCCCACAGCTAGCTGATGTTGTCAAGAGCGATAAATTGTTCATTTCAAAGCTACAAGTATCTAACAATTCTTTGGAGTACAACTAAGATGAATCCACGTCATGACAAACCAACAAATCGGTTTGCGACCAGCTGGACCAGACCAGCCTGCTGCATCGCGCACTGATGAGGAAAAAGACCAGCTGTTCGCTAACATTTCTTTACTTGTTATAGGGTCTGTTACGAACAGAGGATCCTGATCAGACGCGGCGGATTGCCAGGGCTGGTCTATTGGATCTATCTGGTGCAAACCCACTAGTTGTTTTGTCGTGACGCGGCCAAATGGTTTAAATTAGGTTGGCCTTCTTTCTTTACATGCAGAATATTATAGCTATAACAATTTCATTTATTATTTAAAAACGGTATTTTTGTAACTAAAGTTAAAAAAAACTAGGTAATAAAACAAATATTCTATGGAAGTTTAAGTAATAAATCATATTTAATGATAGAGACGAGACGTACACGATGACGAGAACTAACACATAGTAGGAATATTAATATAGGAAGCTTTATATTTTCATATTCTCTACGCAGAGAAATGATCAAACTATATTATATATTTAATACTTTTACTTTTCACGCACATTTTGAGCAAGTCGGGTTTGGGCTCATAACCAATCACATAGCACGTTCCGTACAAAAACCCTCGAAGACGCGCAAACAGCTAACTACAATTACATGGGTAGAAATACTGAAAATAAATAATCTTAGAAAAGCTTTGACAAACGCATATAAAATGGGTGTAAATAAAAAGTGACGACTCTTAAGGAAAGTTGCCCCTAATACATATTTATTTTTAAAAGCGTTTTTTAAAAAAAATAGTTTAACTTTTAAAATGGATATGATATTAATTTGTAAAGTTGACTACAATATTTTTTTTGTAAACCAAAGTTCTATATAAAAGAAATTTAAAAAAACTTTTAATTTTTGATTCTTACCTAACAAAACAAATGAATTTTATTTAGAGTTCCCAAAAATTTTTGAAATAAATAAAACTGTCTAATATATTTGAAAGAACCTGGGGATTCAAATCAAAGCACTTTTGAAAATTTATAGATTTTAATAGATGAAGAAATACTAGTAATCTGAACGCTAAAACATTACCCAAAATGAAAAATGTATACATACGTTTTGCACACTGTATTTTATTATCTGCCAATAACCGTTTATGCATTTTCCTGTCCTTCCCAAGTGCTACTTTAACCGCCTTTTCATCAATATTTTGGGAATTTTATCCCCATTTTGAACTTTGTGCAGTGCATTTCCATTTGACCGTAAAAACCAATTCCTAAACATGCTTTTTTTGCAGCTACGTCTCACGGCCCGAAACAAAACATGGTAAGGAACAGTTTTCAAAAATTTTCGAAAAATTACACCCCCAGTTTTATCATCACTGTGTTTAAATCCCCTAAACATTTAAATTTTCGATTTGCACAAACTATCATTTTACCGCCAAGGTGCATCTGCGTTTTTGTTACATGTAAAGATATTTATTTGGGCACAAAAAAATTTGAGTTGATCCGTTTTATCCCTTTTTAAAAAACATATTTTTTTTTCACAGAGACTATTTGGGACAGCACTGACAATCAGTGCTAACAAACATTTTATCCCCCTTTTCTTTAAAAACATTGCATTTTATTTTTGGATTCCTATGCTATCCCGCAACACGAAATTTATTTTAAAGAGTATTATGAGCGGGAATTTTTTGAAAATTAAGACTCTTTTATTGAGTAATTTTTACCCAATTGCAAAACATCTTCCAAATGGGCAATTAGAAAATTGTATTGCGTCACTGCAATCGGAATCTGTTTCGCAGGTGCATTCAGTACAACGAAGTTCACATGCTCTGTCATCATTAACAGCTTTATAACCGGAGAAACATTCACAAGTTTTATTCACACACAAACTATAATTCATCGAATCACTGCAGTCAGCATTCAATTCACAAGAAGAAGAAATATTTCCTGGAAAGTAAAACAATCCTGATACATAGCATTTTCTAAATATTATTTCAAATTACTGACATAATTATGACACTTAAAGCTAAAATATTGCATTTATCATGCAAAAAGTCAAGGCCAATTGAAAAGAAATTTATTCTAGTGAATTAAGCACAATAAATAAAAGATGTATTATCGTATTGAATGTACCTGTCATTGAATTCTTTGTCTTTTTCTTGTACAGACAGAGCTACCAAAATGGACGACTATTGTATATGAATAGAATTGAACAAGAGAATATTTGATCACCATACTTACGTTTTGCACAGAATGAACCATTAAACATCTCCCGTAGCCAGATAAAATAAGGGTGTATTTTCCTCTTCACTATTTGAACAGCACTTACAATCCCACGTCTGACATGTTTTATTCCCCCATTTTTTTAACTGACACGTGCTAACATTCCGAGTGATATCAAACAACAATTACAGGGGTTTTTGTACATTTAAAAATGAACGATATAGAACAAACGAATAAATCGCTCACGGCCCCAACACTCGAGAAGACACGCTGTATAATTGTGTTCTCCTTAAACCCTTTTCACACTGCAATTCCCGATTGGCAAAATTTAATTAACAGCATAAAAAAAATCACCGTGGGCGCACTCTATCAAGAATTTCGTTTGATACATTTTTATTGCCTCATATCGGGTAACCATAGTTGCACGTACATTCATTTCTGAAACAGAAACTGTTTTCAATCAGCTCACAACTGCTGTCCATGTTGCATTCGTCACCTATTTCATTTTGGACACACACAGTACGATTTTGTACCGGTTTTCTATTTCCTACACACGAGCAATATCCTTCTTTGCACATTGTGTTGTTAATGACTGATACACAGTCTCCATCTACCTTACACGTATCCTCTAGTTTTCCTACAATGAATGCATATAGTGACATATAGTATAACAAACTGTAAAACTATTCAAATTGCTTTATTAAGGAATTGATAAGATCGTAAAATGAATGCTAAAACGTTATTTATTTACAATAAAAACAACAAAATTTTGACCAATTCCAATTCATAATCCATATC